TCAAATTAAGTTTTATTTATGCAGATACTTTTAAAAATTAATTTCAAAAAGTGCATTTATATTTTTGATTAAAACGTTAGCCAAACTGTTCTACAATTTAATTTTTGTTTTAAACTTTAGGGGAAAATGAAAAATATTCATTATATTTTTAAATTAAAAGATACAAGCAAATTATAATTATTATAAAGCATTGAACAAAAGAATGCCAAAGACCCTTTCTATTTTTGCAAAAATTTTTAATAAAAGAAGAAAGGTGAAAAAAATGTCTTTGCAATGGGCAATGGATGATAAATAAGCTAAAATGTAAGTAAGATAATGTGTTTTTATGTGTGTAATTCTCATCATTTAAAATTTTACTTTTCATTGTCCTATATACATTGTATGCATATTCATATAAGAATGAACCCACAAATAATATTTTTCTTATAGCATGTAACAATTAATATGATGTTCCAATTTTTTAGAGAAATATTAAATGTATAATAAAAATGAATTTAAAATAAAGGAAGTTAGGACTAATAATCTGTAATAACTTTTTTAATTCATCATTAAAATTGCCATTGGTTTTATTTGAAATTTGAATATTTTAATAAAGCTAATTTGTGTGAACATATGTCTTAGAACAGATATAGGAAGTTATGGATATATGTTAAATTACTGCTATGTACATAGCCACATGTTAATAACTATATATAGCTGTAATTAGAATAGGAAACACATAATATCCTCAGCAATTTGATAATATTTTTACAAACATATGTATGTACATATTATGTGTACTTGTTTTCAATATATTTTTTTTAACTCTATATAAAACAGTAAGTAAGTTTTATTTTGCTATATTTGTTATTTTTCTATTTAAATTTTAAAGGTAAATTTTTAATCATAATAATAATAAAATAGTTAAATTGCATTTGGAATTGAATTCTAAAAGTACTTTTCCATTCATAAGTCATTTTTTTACGATTATCTAAGTGAATATTTTCAATCTAATCAGAAAAATATATATGTATGTATATTGTAATGTCGATTATATGGACCTATATGTCCGAATTTATCTAATGTTGTTTAGATTTATTAATAATCTATTTATATAGATTTAAATGTAAACGAGTTTTATATTAGAGTTTTTGCAGTCAAAAAGAGTTTTGTTGCAGTAGAAAAAGCTTTTACTGTAACTTATATACATATAACAAAATTATTTTGCAATTCTAAAAAAATAGTAATGATAAAATTCGGAGTTATGCTCAAAATTTCAAAAAGTAAAAAAATCAGTCGAAATTGACTTTAAGCCCCGAACCTATGAACATCGTCTCCATTGTTTTGTCTACTCATGAGGGCTTATACAATGGCGTATGACAATGTACTTTGCTACGTGTTACCCTGTATACTATATGAGTACTCTTTTACTAAAAATAATTAATTTTAAATCTAAAAACATCTCAAATCTATTCTAGAATCAAAAAGCAAAATTGGAGAAACAGAAACGCTTTTAAAGTAAAAACAATTATGTGTAAGCAACTATTATTTTTTAACTATAATTTATTAAAATTTATTTTAAATTATTCCTGTTGATGATATTTCAATAAAGCTTTCAATTGAAAATGATAATTACAGATAATAAAAGTGCATTATGTAAAAGTATTAATGCATGGATATTCACATTACATGTATATCTATATAACTTTTATAATGATTTCAAAGAAAACCATATTGGTATATTAAAAAATACAAATTTTACTATCCATATACGAATACCATGTACTGATACAGCGCATCCATCATTCATTTAATAATATTCTATTGTTTGCGATTGATAAAATTATTTGAAATCGATTTGACCATATTTACTTCGTTTTTTTTATATTATTTTTGCAAAATTTTTATGCAAGGATAGAATAAAATATATACCTATACCACAATAAAGAGAAAATTTTATTTAATGAATATATCTAGGGTTAATAACCTCTGAAGGTTAATAATGTGGAATAGTTATAAAGACTATTTCATTACATATAATAACGACAGTCTGAGCACAAATAAATTCAAGTATTCTAATAAATAAATCGATAAAATTTTGAATAATTAATTAAAAAATATTTAAACTTGTATACAATTACCCGTACTACATAAATTGTGTACATATTTTTTTGTATTGTAGCACTATATTATGGTGTATATGTATAATCTTTTGTGGAAATGGCAATATTGACACAAAATCTTTATTAAATAATCAAGTTATTTGTAGGGTTTCATAATACAATTAAGACCAATGCAATTACATAATACTTTATTTCAAATAAAATGTTTCACTTAATATCTTCAAATGAAAATTTCATTATATAAAAATAAAAATCAGAAGAAAAAAACATTGGCAATATTTTATTTATAAATCAATTTTCGTTGGATTGTGTCTTTGCTATATGAAGTCATAGGTTTTGTCTCTTTAGTGAAAAATTTAGCATACTTTTAGGTAACGTCAAATTCAGTTTTTTTTAGCTTTGCATTTTTCTGGGTATATAACTTTTTCCTTATATTGTTTTAGACATTTTAGATATACAATATTAGGAAAATTGTTATACAAATAAGATTATAAAAATCATTTGTAAAAATTAACTTCAAAATTATCTTCTTTTTTGCTTTAATTATTTAAAGCATTTAATTGTGCTCTGATATAATGATAAAAATATAGGAGCGCAAGATTTTTTTCCAACCAATTCCATGTTCAGAATTGTTGCTGCTCAGACGTATTTCAATGTACTTGCAATATTTTAATTACTCATATTCAGTTAAGTATGATTTTCTTATTTAATATAGCAATTTTTAAAACTAATTTCAAATTGATTTTGTTTAATAAAAAGTAAAATAAAAAAGAGGATTGTTATTATATCGATTTTAATAAGTAATGCTACAATATAAAAGATTTGTATAATTGTATATTTTATTTTTTTGATATTAAATTTTGCTTTTATATAGTACAAATAAACTTATGTTTCTATGTTATTGCATACAAAAGTGATAAAATATCGTTATACTTTATTTTTATCATCGTAAATTTTTACATTTTATTTAATTTTGTTTTGCAAAAGCCTACAAGTAAAATGATCACTTTTTGCTTTCTTCTTTTTAATATATTGTGTTTTAATTTCTAAACTATTAAATGTTATACAGTAGAGTTCCGGTTTAATAATATGAAAATAGCTATTAACATGAAATGCGATAAAATGGAAGAATTCTTGTATAATAATATTCCATATTCTAAATAATTAAGTACAAAAATTTTAACAAATTTTAGATTAGCAAGTTAGATAATTTTGTAAGACATTTTATGTTTCAATATATTAAGTATGCCCATTTTCACTCAAGTAAAATTGAAATTCAAGTGATCTAAAAAGGCTCTGGAATATATGTATTCAACTTATGTATGTTGCTTAAGAATGTTAATAAAGAAATTTATATAACAACTTTTTATATAATTTTCATATGTTCAAAACAAATAAACTGCTAGAATATAGCATTTTGGTCATACTAATGGGTTGATATTGTAAAGGTTTTATCATGTTTATGAAAGACGCTTGTAATTAATTGGATCTCACACGGAATTTATTTTTCAAATGATATTAAAGTTTATATTAGTTGAGGTTTACACATCAAAGATTATTCATAGATTTTGTTTGATCAGAATTGACGAGATGGCCTTACTCATCCAACCCATGGAGATGAGAATTGATGAGCTTCTCCCCATCCAACTTTTATAAATTTTTTATTAGATTAAATAAAATCTAATGAAAAATCATTATATTAAATAAAATCTAATGACGTTTGATGTGTAAACCATGTTGAAGGTACATGAAAAAAATCTCCAAAAAGTATGTAAAATATGTGAATTAGTGCGTTTTTCTTAAGATTTCTGTACTTAGAAATTTAGATTATGTATCTACCTATATTATTATAATATTTTCTAATCTCATTATTAGAACTACATACGTATTTTTATTTATTTTTGTTTATGTTTGTAATTTTAAAATTTTAGTACAAGTTTTAGTAAAGTTATAAAAATTTGTTCGATTTGTTTTGTAAAATGTAAAAATGGTTTTTTAATATTTTTAATATTTTCAATTTCTTAAAATCATATTTTTTCCTTTTAAATGCCTAATATTTTGCTTAAAATTTATTATATTGATAAAGTAGAACTATTATTAGATTAAATAAATATATTTATATGTGTATATACAAGTATACAGGTATTTATGTAATAATATAAATGTATGCATAATATTTTATTCTTTTAATTTTAAAATATTTCTATATAAAAATTCACCAATAACACAATTTTTAATAAAAATAAATTTTTAATACATACCTATGTATGTATATTATAATATTTTAGAATAATGATGGTAAACTTAATAGAATAAATACCAGTATTTAACAGAACATTAAAAGAATAAATGCAAAATGATTTCCATTCATCAGAAAAATTTAATTTTAAATATTACATAAGTGTTATTTTATTAAAAAATATTTTAAATTATTCTAATTTAACAATGTTACATTTTCATATTAACTTGTTATAATAATATAATAATATAATAATCGGAATGCGCAAGTTTCATTCAAGAATTTTAAAACAAAAATAAATTCAGATGGTTTGCCAGTTTATTTCTTTTACATTTTTTCTTTAATAAATTAAAATTTAAAAATAGAATATGCTTTTAATAAAATTTAGAATACCTATATTTTGAAATATTTACCAAAATAATTAAAAATTAAAATTAACATTATAACAGGATTAAAAAGACAATTACATAAATTTGCGCAAAAATCCCTGGTTAAAATAAAAATGTGACATTAATATTAAATTAAAGAACAATAAAAAATTTGTTATTTTATAATTTTTATATATCGTGCTTAAGATAGGTATGGATTTCTAAATATGTATGGTAGATAATGCCATAAATATCTATCAGGCCACCAAGCTCAGACTGCAAATCAAAAATAAATTCCAAATTTATATGAAGTTTAAATGGAAGAGATGTCGGAAATTATTTGTGTGAAGGAAATTGGTTACTATTTTTAGGTCTACTAATTCTACATATTTTTTTAAATTTAAAACTTAAATTTCAACTTCAAAAAATCGGTTGATAAATTCCATCTGAAAAATGAAAAGTTGCAATTTTTAGCACACACAACCCTTCTTGTCTTTCAAATGGAGCGGTTCTGATTTACAGAGTTCAAAATGGAAGGGTACTGAGTTGAAGTTTTTGAATAAAAAATTGTATTTATAAAGAAATTGAAAAAAAAAAAACAAAAAAATAATTATTATAATCTAGATGGCTTTTAAAATCATACTGAATAAAGTGAGTGTCACAAAAAATACTCAAAAATTCCATAAAAAAAAAAATATTTCAATCGGCTTACTTCGAAAACATAAAATATTAATAATTGTTTTTGTAATTTTCCGATTCAAAATTTTGCAAAATAACTTCAGTTTGGTGGCATAATAGGTATGCAAATGTGGCATTAATGTTAGATATAATAATAATTAGCATAACTCAAAATCTCATAATGAAATTTGCATAGTTGTTGTATTTGAGTGGTTTTTTAAAATTGCATTACGCTAACGCAAATATATTATAAAAATTTTGTTTTTGGCAGTCTTGTTATACTTTTAAAATCGGCATAAGGTGCTTAGGTTATACCTTTGAGTTCTTAGATTATGAATACTCAAAGGCTGTATAAGTATGTAGATAAATATGTATAATTATAAAGAGAGTAGTAAATTTTTTTTTTTGTGCTGAGATTTTGGGCTAAAATTATAATCGGAAATTGTTTTTTTGTTTTTCATAGTTTAAAATTTATAATTAAAATTGGTATATAGTGTTTTAATAGGCTTGGTTTTTTTTTCAACTTTTTTTTTTACTGGTATAATTAACATAACATTTTATTTAATCAGTCATATTTTTTTTTTTGTTTTTTATATTTTGATTTTTTGTTTTTGATTTGTATTGTTGTTAAATTTACAAAAAAAACTTTGTTTTTTTCGTAATTTACTTATTTAATATTATAAAAAAAGATTGGGAGGAAATTATGTTCAAGATGTGATATTCTTATAATAAAGTGGTTTTTTACCAGTTTTACCCATTACATAAAGTCCTTTTGGTTTACCATTACTAGGAAAATTTTTATGAAAATTACTATTAGGTCCTTTAATATAATTATGTGGTGCATAATATGATGGTATCGATTTTTTCGATGCTTTCTTTCCAATTGATCTTACGGTATCATATGAGCCATATTTATCGATTGTTTCATTTTCCCATTGATTTGACCATGTTGGAATATTTTTAATATCAATTAAACTTTTATCATTTTTTCTTGAACTTTTAATATTCGATTGTGGTAATTTTTTATCAGTTTTTTGTGCGACTTTATTTATTACAGGTAAATTCCAATGATATATTCTTCCAAGTTTTCCATTTGAACGGAAATTGAGCTAAAAATTAAAAGAATTTCATTAATAAAGTAAGTAATCATTTACATACATACATATATGTATTTATTTATAAATTTCTTTTAAAGTTATAACGAAATTGAACCATTTCTAGACTTTTTACCAGAATTAAATTTTTCATCTGCAAACTTCAGTTCGAATTTTATTACAATTATAATTCAATGTCTTTTCTTTATAAATGGCAAACTTGATTTAAAATAGATTTTTATTAAATTTTAGTATTCAATTTGGAATAAATTTAAAATTTAGACACTTTTTACAATTGTACTTATTTCACATTGTTAACAATTAGATTTCAATAAAATTTTGTTAAAATTTCTTTCTTGTTTATTTCTCATTAGAATATTTACAAGAGAATTTTACGAATGTATTTACTAAATGAACGGCCAAATTAAATTAAAATTCAGTAAATACCCGACATACATAATATATAAACTCCAGTATTTCTTACTTACCTTTTGAACATCATTATTATTGACAGAGTTTTTCGGATGAGCAAATTTAACGTTTCCATAATAAGCCGGTTGTGGAGGAAGTTTTACAATAAACATTTTTGAATCATCTGGTCTTGAAAATCTTCTCGATTCAACAGCTAATCGTTTTCGGCCATGACTAATTGGAACTATGACTTCTGATAATCCCAACCTCCTACAAGAAAATTCAACAAAATAAGCATGAAGTGTATATTTTTTTTATAAATTCTAAAATAATTTATAAAAAATTACTCTAAAAGTTCCTTATTATTAGGTTTTTTCGAATTCGATTTCTTTTCTCGATTCATTTTTTTCATTTGATTTCCACCACTTAATGGATTAGCATGTCTCTTTTTGAGTGTATTAACTGGTCGAATATCTAAATTTATAATTCGTGAATCTCGTAAATGTAAATTATGTTCTTCTGTTGGTGTTGTTGCAAATGCAATATTTACAAGTAATATGCAAAATATGCTGTAAAAAAAATATGAAAAATTTAAAATTATTAATGAATTTATTGAAAGATACTTAAATCTAAATTTGTATTTTAAATTTATGGAATTATTAGGAATTTGTTAGGGATTTATAACTTCGACATATGTATAACCTAGCGAATTTTCATTAATTTCACAACAAACCCAGTCATTTAAGAAATTTTTTTAAAATCCGATCTTTTTTGAAGACAAATGGAATGGAAAATAAAGAAAAAACAATTTGCTTTTTCACTTATTTGTGTCGAAATTAATTAACTCCATACAATGATTATAATTAACAATAAATCATATTACTTATTATTTAATATTGTTAATATTAATCCGAAAAACATGGAAATCGCATTAAAATTTATATTTTTTTACATATACATACATACATAAGCATTAAGATAATAATTAAGTTTAAATGACAAGAACGCAATCTTACTCTTTCTTTCAGTTAGAGGCTATACATTCACAAGAAAACTTATATATGTACGTATGTATATAAGTATAACCCATATTATATCAGTATGATTTTAATTTTAAATATTTTTCTTGCAAAATTTATATGAATGCACAATGAATGGTAAAAGAAAAGAAAAGCAAAATTGAATTAATTTACAAGAATTTTTTCACAAAAACTCTGTAACTGCATTGAATTGCTTGAAATGTAAACAATGGAAAGAGGAGTCGTGTAGAGTATAGACTATAGAGGGAGGGAAAAAATATAATATGACTGAATAATACATTATGATGCTTACATCTACACATAATTTGTGTGTATGATATTTACCTTAAGAATTCAAAAAACGGACCATAAAATTTTTTTATCTGAGATCAATATTAGATCAGTTGGCGTGCAAGAATTAAATAAAATGTAAATATAATCATCTTAAGATTACATCATAATAAATGCTACTTGGATATAAATTTACAAACATGTATAAAATATTTTCAGTGTTTTCAGCAGTTTTATAGTATGCCTGCTGGTCGATGATGGATTCTAGAGTGAATATTTTAAATTTATATTTCTTACATAAATTATTATTATTAAAATATTTTTGCAAAGTAAAACAGTAAGTTTAAAAATAGAATATAATAATAATATTTTTTCCTAGTAAGGTATACAGGGTGGTTCGCATAAGGTGGCAAATAATTTCAGGAATGATTCAATTTCCAGTAAAAAATTGTATGAGTGGGGGAGGGAGAGATATACTCATTTTCGAACTACAGCCTGTTGAAAAAAAAAGTTACAAAATCTTTCTGAATAGAAATAAATGCTTATAACTTCGGAACCATACAACATAGAGATATCATTATCAGTTTGTCTTACAGGCGATTAATTGTTCTTTATTTTTGGTCTTTGTTTTAAGCCATTAAAACTAATTTAATTTGATTTAAGCCATAATTTTCGAGATACAGCTTTTCAAAGTCAGAAGTTTTGCTTGTTTTAAAATTTTTTTTACAAAATTCGAAATTTCCTAAAAAATTTTTGTTATTATTATTGTTTTTTGTTTTGTTTTTTTTTTTTGATGCGCTATGATGAGATCTAAAAGTTAACCCATATAACATTTTCGTCTATCTCTCATAGTTTTTCCAGTAAAAAGTGTTAAATGTATTCAAAAACATGCGAAAAATGGAAAATATCGCCACCCGACACCCCATACAATTTTTTGCTGGAAATTGATTCAAGAATAATCCCTAAAATTATTTGCCGTCTTATGCGAATCTCCCTATATAAATTAATAATTAATATAGATTAGAATAATAAAAAAAATGTATAAGAACTTAAAAAAATCAACATTTTAATAAAAAAAATTCTTTTAGGTAAAAGTTTTTTAAAAATGACAAAATATTAAAGAAAATATTAAGTAGCAAGCGACTTGTATCAGATTTGCAAGTTATTAAATTAATATTTCTATTTCCGAATAGAAAATACCAATATTTTCGTTAAATTGAAGAATAATTGTTGATTTTGACGCCATTTTGTTCTTACCTATTTAATTTAATTAAGTAATATATTTACATATAGGAAAAAGTAAATCACATTTAATTTATTAACAAAAATCCAATTTAATAAATTCGAATCATTTCAACAATTTGTGAAGTAGCACATTTCCCTCCACCAAATCAAATTTTTTCTAGAAATTAAATCCTTTATCTAATTTATAATTATTTCGCTGACATATTAAAAAAATCATAATTATTGCATAAATTTAGGATGGAATAAAATTATAAAAAGCATTGTCACATACCAACCAACTAGTGATCAGTTGAGTTGAAATAACTAACTATATTTTTTGATGGTAGGACATTCATAATATTGTTTTTTGTCTAAAATGCAACGCTTTTTGTTGAATAAGTAATGCATGGAAAGAGGGCAAAAGGAGTATAAATTATGTATTTATTAATTTCTACGGCAGTTATTAAAATTTTCTATTTTAATGCGTGCAGAAATTTTTCAAACAGATTCACCAATTCCATCACTTATTCGGGTAGACTGAAAGTAATAAACACAAATTTCTTCAATTTTGTTAAAAATATATGTTAAAATTTAGATTTCAAATTAATTTTTACTCGTAATATTTACGAAAATCTAAATTTTTACTTTTCATTGATATGTCGGAAATTATTTAGTATAATGAAAAGAAAGTCAAAGTTGTTTAGAAAGTTTATTATTAATTTCGATTTTCTCAATTCTCATTTTATATACGTATAATAACAATTATATATTATGTGTTTAGACAATGATATTAAAAATTATATAAAAAAATTAAAAGAACATTGTGAATTATAATAAAAGAAAGTTCAAAATATAAGTAATTTAGTTTTTCTTTTCAATAAAAAAATATGTGTATATAAAATTGTTTAAACATAATCTAATTTATTCTTCGAACATTAACTATTTTCATTAAATATTATTATATGCATAAATTATATAGAATTAATATTGTAAAAAAAATGTTAATTTTTAAATATATGACTGGCGTCATACAAGAAAATTGATCTTTCCTTTAATATAATAAAAAATTGTTATATACCTAGGTATATTTTTAATAAATAACCCTTTATTTACTTACTTTATTATTTCAGAATTATTATAAAAGTGTACACATGATTAATATAAAAATATTTTATCCTTAATAATGTAGAGTAACATATAAATTATTTTTTTTTTGTAGCTGCGATAATAGTTAAAAAATGTTAGTGTATTATAATTCATAGTTTTGCATTCTCCATTTTAATCAGTTATTTTGATATATGTATATATAGGAAAAAAAAATTATTTATTATATTAAATCATAAATTATTATTTGTTATTTTCTACAGCAAATTTGCAAACTGAAACAAATTTAACAAGCTTAACCTTTAATTCATGGTGTAAATAAACATAAAATGGAAAACATTTTATTAAAACGTGAGGTTCTTGATGATAGAGTTAGATCTAAAAATAATTTTATAAAATTATAAAATGATTTAGTATAATTTATTTGAAAAAGTGTGTTTTGCTAAAATTTATATGTATATGTCAATGAAAGACATTTTAATTCTAATATTGAATATTTGTCTATAATAATTAAAAAATTGCTAACAATAATGTTTATGGTAGTTTTTTTTCACAAAAAATTCTACAAATCCTAAATTTTAATTTCTAATAGAAATAAAAAAAAATTCTGGAGTAGTTCAATAAAAATTATGCTGCGATTACATAAAAAATACGGAGAAACAAATAATTATATTTTACTAAATTAATAAAGCCGTTCAGTTTAACAAAAAAATATTATGTTATTGATACTTCAGCTCTTTCTTTGTGAATCGAATAACATAGCACCATTAAAAATATTGGTATGTATGGATGTATGTACATTTACATAAAAAAATCACACATTGAGATTTTATTTCAGGATAATAAAATAAAAATTAATGAATGAGTGTTTTAATTTTATTGATAAAATAAATGCAAATAATAATTAAATTTTATTGAATAGTTCTATTCAATTTCAGTTTTATAAAATAAGCAAAAAAAGAGGAATCGAATACATTATATTCCATGAGTATGATTCTATGAAGATTTCATAAAAATTAAAGTTTTTGTTACAAAACATAAAAATTATTTGTATGGGTATTTATTAATACATAAAAAAATTAAATTGATCCTAAATAACAACAAATATGTAGTTTAAATTTTATAATGAAAGAATAATGACATTTTTATGTTTTTATTAGTATAGTGATTAATGTATACGTATTTATATTCATTTACGTTATGTAAATATGGCTGTATGTACGTAAATTACTTAAAACTTACTGGTGTCGTGGAAGTTATGTGTATGCAATCATTTAATAATTTTAAAATACACTTATAAAATAAATGTAATTTTCATATACATCTATTGTAAAGAATCGTATAATCTACTAGTAATCCTATGCTGTTAAAGTGCTTTGTAGACCTATTCGCTTTAAAATATCCCCATTGGTCAATTTACGCTAATCCATCGCTTATGTAAAAAATTTTATCTTTCTATGCGCAACCCCTTTCTCAAAAAATTAATTGGAAGCGAGAATTTTGGATAAAGGTACCGTTTAACACTTTTGTACACGTACAAACACAAAATAACTGAAATATTGTTCATAAGCGTTATGTTTTTGTAGCACACAGCATGTAGTATTAAGACAATTCAGGTAATAAATTAATTTATTGGGGCTTATTTTGACTATCGAATAACTAATATCACTAGTGATATTTATCGTAAAGTTTCAAAAACTTTATTATAAACACGAGATATTTGTAAGAATTGATTTGTGTTTACAATAATAATATCGTACTTTAATCGTATATTATCAGTATCACTTAGTGATTTATTAGATAGAATAAGTTTGTTTGATCATATGACTTTCTTTGAATTTGTTATAAGGCATTACATTTACGGTACATATACGACATATGCATATGAAAGACTCGCATGTGATAAAATTTAAATAAGCGGTTTCGATACA